CACCCTCTTATAGAGGGTTGGAATGCAGCTGCGTGACAGCGCATGACGATTTGATTGGGCCGCACTGCAGTTTTCGCGTCAGCGCTGGCAGGTACAATGCTTATGGATGCAAAGTTCAGTTTCTGCTGCTGCTGCCGTTCCGCCTGACAGGGACGACGTTGGTTAGATCGGGATAGGACACGGAACATGGGTGGTGGGGGGACTTACCATGGGTGAGAAGCATCATCGTGTTGCTGAAGCCATCTAAGCTGATGAACGACAAGCAACCAACCGAATTTATCCTAACATGGACGCAACGGCCTTGCGGACCTTGTAGAAAATTATGAGGAAATGTGAGCATGCAGGTAGCTTTTCATGTGCAAGTTTGTGAACATGGGATTACTGTTACAGCCGGTTCGTGCGATGATCAGTTGAATGCGGAACGTAGGGTGGGGAAGCGACAAATGATTTCGCCTAGACTTGCAATCTGAAGGTAGTTGCGGGCTGAACAGCGTGAGCGGCACATTTCATGTATGGAACAAATTGCACAAGCACAACTCCAACATTACTAGTTACACATCTCATTCATGTTTTGACATTTTTTTTTTGTAGGAAAAACACTTGAAACTACAGTATCACGTATTCACAAACTGAACATAATAAATCACATTGTGACAATACTTTGTTTAACCAGAGATTGCATCTTGACTAAACCTCGCCAGCCCTTTCTAAGTTCCGATACTTGTCCTTCAGATCAACCTGCGAAAACATATGCCGCTGCGACACTTTCAGAACGCAAACATAAGTAACAAATAAAGCTTTGATGCCAACCATTAAGCACTGACGCACAAAGGAGTCAAAAGGCATGTTATGAGATGAGAACCCATTGAGACAGACGGTTGCATACCCATGGTAGGTCTCAAGCCGTTCAATCAAGGAGCAACCCCGTCAGTTTCAAACGCACTGCGTTTGAAAACCCGGCCAGAGAATTCTTCATGCGGGCTTTAAAGCCCGCGTCCCAAATTGCGGACCGCGAGGGTCAAGTTTTTAAAACTTGACGAAGTTGAGTGTCCAAGCTTTTGAAAGTCACGCACCTGCAATTTGGGACTTTCGAAGACAGATTCACTCACCAGGGGGACAACCGAGGGTTGGCTGGGTCTCGCGAAAAAAACGAACCTAGATGAAATTGCGAACTCTCGCCAAAGCCTACACCAGAAAAACTCCCTCTGGTCAACTTTTAAAAGCATCAACAATTTGGGCCGCCGGCTTGAAGGTGAACATGCATGAAGAAGTCACGACGCGCAGAATACAAGCAATCGAGCAGGTATAGGTCACTTGCCTGCGTCCGGCCTGCAAAGACATCGGCGTATTCGTGCATGATCTGACTCCACGATTTGCCAAACCTGCCATGCCATGCACAGCACGCACCAGGGACAGCCAGGCGTTATGGGGCAAACAAAAAATCAATAACCCGGTGAAAGAAAAGCACCGAAAAGGAAAACGAAGAAAACACCGGAACAAGAAGAGAGCACCCGATTCCCCAGCCAGAACCACACACTCACAGCATATGCTGAGACGATTTTCCAGCTGGATCAGAACCTCAGGCAGCATGCAGTGCGCCAGGCTGCGGCTCAATCCTCACCTCAATCCTCACCTCAAGCCGTACCTCAAGCTGCCTCACCTCATGACGCCAATCTTGAGTGTGTCTGTCTCCTCCGCACTGAACGGCCGCTTAGGCCTCCTCACCCTTCCAGTCGCAGTCACAGTGCCTCCCCGCCTCCTCACACCTTGCCCCATACCACCCCTTGCAGCAGCACCAGCAGCAGTGCCAGGAGAAGCAGCATGCAGGTTGAGAGGGGAGAGGTGGGGGGCGGAGGGCGTTCGTAGGTGCACTGTGGCGGGCATACTGGTGCGGCCATGCCGGTTGCTGGGACCATGGGGTTGAGCTGGCTCTGGAGTCTCTTCCAACTCCCCGTCATCTTCAGACCACTGCATGGGATGCGCATATGAGAATGGTGAAAGGGATTGGAACATGGGATTGAGCATGTGGCTTGTGCATGTGAAGGTTTGCCTGTAAAGGATTTGCTTGGCTCTGGAGTCTCTTCTGCGTCAGACCACTGCGTCGGACGAGCATATGAGAACGGTGAATGGGATTGGAACATGGGACGGTGCATCCCTGTCCAGACACAACGGCTTGCCTGAAGTGAGGAAATCCATGTGGTGTGCCATACCTCTAGAATGCGTGCGGTTGGTTGAGGGTCCATCATCCTTCTCCTCCTTCCACCCCCATCCCTTCCCTCTCCATCCTCCTCTCTCCCATCTTCACCACGCCTTCTTCTCTCACCCTCTCCTTTTCCCAGAACTTCCAACCAAGTCTCACTAGCTACTCTCCTTCCCCCTTCTTCCCCCTTTTTCTTCCATTTCCTCCTCATACCAGCTTCATTCGTCCTCCTATCCTCCTCACCCTCCTCTTCTTCCTCCTCCTCCCTCACGTGTTCCAACCCCACCCTCTCCTTCCTTCCCCCTCCCCTTGCTTTACTACCCTGAACGACTTCCCTCTCTTCCCCCAAGCCACCATTCCTAGCCTCACCCTCAGCCTTACCCCGAGCCTGATCCCGGACCTGGGCTTTAGCAGCCTCAGCCAATCGCAGTGCGTCAGGCAAGGGGTCCTGCCCTACCGCCTTCAGTCTCGCACTGCTCTCTCGCAACTCACGAACCATCTGCTCCGCATCACCACTGACAGCAGCAGCGGTGGTGGCGGCGGCTGAAGGTGCTGCTTCATGATTCTGTACCTGTTGAACCGCCTCATAAGCTTCTTCTTGGTTCTGTGCTCGAGTGGATTGCTGCTGCTGCTGTTTTGGCTTCCCTTGTGGATCTTGTGACTGCCCCTGTTTTCGCTGCACCTGGTCCTGCTGTTGCTTCTCTTCCCTCAAATCCTCAAGTTTACGGGCCCCTGCAAGACACACAGAAAAGCAATCAAAATCAGCACCCGGGTGAAATAACATAAGCTAGATAACATGTTCCACAGGGTTTTGCGCTATGAGAGAAACAGACACGGGCAAGATGCACTGACTGACCTCGGTTCAGGCCTTCAGGGAACCAGCTCCTGATAAGATCATGTACGGCTACAGTCACATATCCTTTAGGGCATCCGACCTCAGTATCACATTCACCACCACCAGCAAGACCGCCATCAGTGATCATGGAAGGACCACCAAGACTATCAGCACCATCACCATGACCACCACCGCCGTCTCTTCCCTCTCTTCCTTCACCCCAAACAGCATCCGTCCTCATAATCAAATTACCTAAAAGAACTTGCTCTGCAATCCCGTCCAAACTCGGCCGTCCGAACCAAGCCCACGAATCGTCCATGTACCTCCGAACCAACGTGGCAGCCTCGGCAACAGGGTACTTTTGTATGAGCTTAGCCTGCAGGCTCTTGTTGTCCACAGCTGCGAATAGCTCCATCCGCCTAGCCTTTTGCTGCTGCAGGTGATTCGATTCTGCTGCATCCACGTCATCATCCTCTGATTCGTCACCAGGGTCAGACCAAACCTTTTCCAAAACGTCACGGTACTGGGCAACTTCCCATGGTTTCCCGCCAAGAAACCGAACCGCAACGGCTGTCATGACCTCTAGCAGAATTTTCTGCCCTGGCGGTGGCCCAAGCTCCTTTCGCTGGAAATAATCCCGAACGTTTGCCAATCCGTCCTCGTCGGAGCACATTTTCGTATCAGGAGCAGGAACACCGTGCAGACGTTCTTTGTTGCGGTGGGATTTCTCGCAGCTTCGAGCGTATTCGTCGTCGTTAGAGAGTCTATTAAGACCTTTGATTATATCGAGAACTTCTTCCGAAACCCCGCTCGTGTTCAAGTAATGCTCCATGGTTCGCAGCATAGACATTTTGTTTAACAAAAAGTTGTGCTTAGGAAAGTTGCCCAGCTTTTCTATGTCGTACATCAAGGCCTGGTATGGACGATGGTACAAAAAGTGTTCCCAACATAACTCCAGCATCCGTTCCTTATACTCTTGCGGGTCCGCTGCTGACGCCATCTCTCAGTAACGGCGTCAGTTGGTGGTTCTGCGGGACTAAATGCGAAAAGGAATCGCGTGATGAGGTTGAGATCGATGAAATTCTTAGAACTCGATCACGATAAAAAAAAACCAATTAACGGTTAACGAGAGCCTGGTTCTTGCGAGCTGAGATGCTGAAAGCTAGATAGAACTGGACTCGAGCTACCATCACAGATAGCTCAGTAAAACGGGGAGAAAGCGCGAAACGGATTATTGCGAGAACCAGGAAAGGAAAGTGTAAGATGTATTGAAGGACGATTCTGTGATGTGAGGAGTGGTTTGGTTCGGTTTAGTCGGGCTGAAGCACCCAGGGTGACCAAAAGCCAATATATTGGCGGGAAACTGACTCCAAGAAATGGACATTTGAGGAACTTCGGCCGTAAGAGTCACGGTGACGCTGCAAATGTGGCGCGGGACAAGGGTTTCGCTGATTGAGTTGCAGTGCGTTTCGTTAGACTAATCAACGATACTCTCTCAGAGTCCCAGTACCTGTCCATCAAATATTTTTTTCAGTCTTGTTGTAGTCTTTGCGCTGGTTATTGCCTATCAACTTCACAACGGTTAAATTATCGGTATCTGTGAACTAGACTGCGCGCCGGGCTAGATGAATGTACCATATGATCTGTAGTCTTTTACTGTCATAAGAAAAGAATTGGTGGCAAATACCATACTTGTTAACATACGGACGGGACCCTAAAGCAGGGTAACTAGGTAACGAACACCCACAAAGAGTGAAATGTAGACCTGGATACACATGATGGCAGGTCAACATGAAATTGGTTCCCAATAACCTGCAATCAAGAGAACAAGAAGAGAGAGCAAACAAGATCAGCAAAAACAACAATAAAGTTTCATTCGCTGTATGCCAAAGCAAAAAACGACTGTATTTGGAACAAGCATTGGCAGGGCTACAACTCACCTTGTCATGCCGTGGATGGAGATAGCTAGAAGAACGAGGAGAAGTTGGATGCATACGCCATGGGCCGCACATTCGGGTGGGGCTGCCAGTGAGATAGGGTTGTTGAGGCGATGAGAGAGGGGGAGCGAGGGGAAGGCGATGAGTGTGGGCTTTTGAGGTGCCTCAAAAGAAGAAGTTGGATGCATACACCAAGGGCGGCACATTCTGGTGGGGCTGCCAGGGAAAGACCGTAGGGGTGTTGATTGAGCAAAGGAAGAGAAAAGAGATGAGTGTGGGCTTCTGAGGCACCTCAAAAGAGGAACGAGAAGTTGGATGCATGCCCCATAGGCCGCACGTTCGGGTGGGGCTGTCAGAGAAATACTGTAGGCGTGTTGACTGAGCGAAGGAAGAGAGGGAAAGATGATGAGGATGGGACGGAAGAGGGATTCCAACGACACTACTGAGAGGAAGGTGACAAGAAGGCAACAACAAAAGAAACACTAACAACAACAGCAACAGCAGCTCCAGCAGCAGCACTCACCACGGCGGTGTAAGTGGTGAAGTTGGGCTTAAGATCAGGTGCTTGGAAGCGAATGAAGGAGCCCTTGTTGCCCATCTGGTCGCAGTAGTTGGGCGCTGAGAACACCGTTATCACCTGCCCCTCGTGCTCCCACACCCACACATCACCATGCCACCACCAGCACCACTACCAGCACCGTGACCACCTGCCCCTCATGCTCCCATACCCACACAACACCATGTCAACACCAGCCCTGCGGGCAGTACTCACCACGGCAGTGTAAGTGGTGAAGTTGGGTTTGAGGTCGGGCGCTTGGAAGCGAATGAAGGCGCCCTTGTTGCCCATCTGGTCGCAGTAGTTGGGCGCTGAGAACACCGTTATCAACTGCCCCTCGTGCTCCTCCTCGTACCCCTCCTCCTTCACCTCATGCGATCGCACCACCAGGTCTGCCAGATAGACAAAGCAAGATACGGAAGCGCACGTAAGGGAATTTGTAAGGCTTGGTTGGGTGCTGAGAACACCGTATCAGCTGCCCTTCGTGTTCCTCCTCATACCCCTTTGCCTTCACCTCATGCGACCGCACCACCAGGTCTGCCAGGGAGACAAGCACGACACAAAGCCACAATAACGGGAGCTTCAAGGCTTTGTTGGGTGCTGAGAACACGGTAAGGAGCTGCCCCTCATGCTTCTCCTTCTCCTCATACCCGACCCCTCCTCCTTCACCTCGTGTGACGTGACCACACCACCAGGTCTACCGGAGACACAAGCAAGATACAGAAGCATATGTAAGGGGAGTTGTAAGGATGGGAAAAGCACACCCACATCTCCAGCCTCCTTAAGAACCAGGTTTCTTCCTTCCCTTCCCCCACCCAACACCCGGCTTGCCCCCTTGCATACCCCCCCTCCCTCAACGCACCCAGCTTGTTGTCCTGCAGGAACCGCTTGGTGACGTCAGAGCCAAAGGCCACGCCCACACCCCACGCCCACACCTACAGGTCTCACCCCACACCCACCAAACCCCTCTCACCCAGCTTGTCCCCTTGCCCCCAACCCCGATTTCCGCCCCAACGCACCCAGCTTGTTGTCTTGCAAGAACCGCTTGGTGACGTCAGAGCCAAAGGCCACTCCCACGCCAGGTAAGACAGTTTCCAAGGTGCCCCAGCCTGCCGCCTTGGCCCTGCACTCACTCACCCACCTAACCCCCCACATCACGCACCCAGCTTGTTGTCTTGCAGGAACCGCTTGGTGACGTCAGAGCCAAAGGCCACGCCCACGCCTCGCTTGCTGGGCATGCGCCCCTGCCCGTGAAAGGGGTCGCTCCACAGCACCTCGCACATCAGCCCTGCAGCACACACATGGAGTGAGCAATAACACCGGCACACACAGAAGCAACAACAAGGGTGAGCAGCATTCCTTTTTCCACGCCTCTCTTGCTGGGCATGCGCCCCTGCCCGTGGAAGGGGTCGCTCCATAGCACCTCGCACATCAGCCCTGTAACACATGAGAGGAGCAGCAGTGCCAGCAAGTATAGGAGCAGTGGTGCAGGCACACATGGGAGAAGGGACACGGATGAGCACTCCCATCACGCCTCTCTTGCTGGGCATGCGGCCCTGCCCGGGGAAGGGGTCGCTCCACAGCACCTCGCACATCAGCCCTGCACACACGTGGAGGCAGCAATACCGGCACACATGGGACCCGCAGCATGAGTGTTCTTGAAAACAGAACACGGGGTCGCACGGGCCGGCAGGCGAGTCCGCGGTGGGCAAACGGGCAGGCGGGTGGGCGGGCGGGAAGGCGGGCGGGCGGGCGGGCGGGCAGGCAGGCGGGCAGGCAGGCAGGGGGGCACTGGGCAGGCGGGCAGGCATACGGACAGGCAGGCAGGCAGCACGCCACGCAGACACACACGCTCTGCCCTCCCAAACACGCCTCTCTCTCACCCTCGTCTGGAGGCTCTTGGAAGCGGTTGATGCCTCGCACATCGTCCAAGCTAACCCCATCCTTGCTGAACAGCCCACCATGCACCACAAACACGCGGCTGCTGATCACATGCGCCAGAGGCAGGTGGGCAGGCAGGCAGGCAGGCAAACAAGAGAGGGACCCTCCTCCCCACCCCATCCTCACCTTCATCTGGAGGCTCTTGGAAGCGGTTGATGCCTCGCACATCATCCAAGCTAACCCCATCCTTGCTGAACAACCCGCCATGCACCACAAACGCGCGGCTGCTGATCACATGCGCCAGCGGCAGGCAGGTGGGCAGGCAGGCAAACAGGAAAAAGACCCTCCCACCCCTCTCTCACCTTCATCTGGCGGCTCTTGGAAGCGGTTGATGCCTCTCACACCGTCCAGACTAACCCCATCCTTGCTGAACAGCCCGCCATGCACCACAAACACGCGGCTGCTGATCACATGCGCCAGAGGCAGGTGGGCAGGCAGGCAGGCAGGCAAACAAGAGAGGGACCCTCCTCCCCACCCCATCCTCACCTTCATCTGGAGGCTCTTGGAAGCGGTTGATGCCTCTCACATCGTCCAGACTAACCCCATCCTTGCTGAACAGCCCCCCATGCACCACAAACACGCGGCTGCTGATCACATGCGCCAGCGGCAGGCAGCAGAAGACGTCAGCGAAGAGCTCCACCATGGGCTCTCCACACTTGGCCTTCACCTCGCCGTCGAAGCCGTATATGCGGTTCATGCTGCGGGATTCGTGGTTGCCTCGTGCGAGATAAAGGCCTGGTGGAGTATGGGGGAACGAATAGGGGGAGGGAGAGAAGCAGGCCGAGAGACGAAGTCCGGGAGAGAGGGCAGAGGGAGGAGGAGAGGGGAGGATGAGAGGATGTGTGTGAAGAGGCAGGCAGGCAGCAGAAGACGTCAGCGAAGAGCTCCACCATGGGCTCTCCGCACTTGGCCTTCACCTCGCCATCAAACCCGTAGATGCTCCACGACTCATGGTTGCCCCTGGAGAGATAAATGCCTCTGGAGCTCCACCATGGGTTCCACGACTCATGGTTGCCCCTGGAGAGATAAATGCCTGGGGGGGAATGAGGGGTCGGGAGGAAAAAATGGAGGTAAGTGAGGGGACAGAGGCACAGAGGAGAGAGGAAGGGCACGAAGAGCGGGTACAGTGAGGAGAGGGGAGGATGGGGGCCCGATTTTTGAGCAGCGGGCAGCAGAACAGAAGGTGTGTGCAAAGCGAGCCATCATAGGATCCTTTTGAGTCGACAGTGGGCATAGGGGGAAGGTCACGTGTAGCGAGGTTGTTTTTGAGACGTCTCAAAAACAACCTCGCTACACGTGGGAACAGAAGGCGTGTGCAAAGCGGGCCATCATAGGATCCCCGCACTTGACAGTGGGCATAGGGGGAAGGTAAAGACCCCTCATAGGGGGAAGGTAAAGACCCCTCATAGGGGGAAGGTAAAGACCCCTCATAGGGGGAAGGTAAAGACCCCTCATAGGGGGAAGGTAAAGACCCCTCATAGGGGGAAGGTAAAGACCCCTCATAGGGGGAAGGTAAAGACCCCTATTATGTATACGTTAGGGAATGACGCGCTCACCGGTGGGATAGAGGCACTTGAAGGCGAAGAGAGTGAAGATGCACTCCACTGAGAAGCTGCCTCGGTCCACAAAGTCCCCGTTGAACAGATAGGGGTTGGTCTCTGACGGCAGGCCGTTGAGGTCAAAGATGTTCATCAAGTCGAAGAGCTGGCGGGGAAAAGAGAGGGGAGGCAGGGTCAAGAGAGAAGAGTACAAGGGAGTGGGGTGTGAACAGGTAAGGACTGGCGCCTGAAGGGAATCTGTAGAGCTCAAAGGCGTTCATGACGTCAAAGAACTGGTGGGGAGACGAGCAGGGAAGGATAGTGGGTTGAAGAACTGATTGGTTAAAAGGGACGTTGAGTGAGGTGGTGGGGGATGGAAGATGAATGAGTGGTGGTTCTGACAGGCTTTCCCTTCCCGTACCGTAAATGTCCCACCTGCCCAAACCATTTTCGCTGCTCTTGACTGCCTCACCTACCCGAAAGTGTCCCACCTGCCCGTGAATCTCTCACCTGCCCGTGAATCTCTCACCTGCCCGTGAATGTCTCCACAGACTGTGATATGTTGACCGTCGGGCACCTGAATGTCCACCAGTGATGGCAGCGCCCGCAGCTGCTCCCGTATGTGAAACAGAATCTGATAGGCGTATCTGGGGATTGGGGTTGGGGGAAGAGGGAGAGGGAGGCAAGGCACATGAACCAATGGCTTGTGCATCTGAAACAGAAACTGGTACATGTACCTAGAAAATGGGGTGTAACAGGAACTGTGATGTGAAGCTTCTTCAGATGAGTGCGCACCTTCTGCGAAGCTTCTTCAGATGAGTGCGCACCTTCTGTGAAGCTTCTTCTGGTTCTTAAAAGCGTCCATCATCTTCTGAACGAACGAGAGAGTCACCTCCTCGCCCTCCATGCGTGGCCCATCGTATGTCGCCTCCACGTCTGCAGTGGGGTGACGGGTGTAGTGAGTGTGAGAGAGCATACATGCACCAGTGAGTGTGTGCATCATATATGCCCTAACGAACGAGAGAGTCACCTCCTCGCCCTCCATGCGCGGCCCATCGTATGTCGCCTCCACGTCTGCAGGGGCATGAGGGGCGCGTGGTGTGTTTGCAGTAGGATATGTGCAAGTGAGTGAAGGCGGGGAAGGAAGAATCACCTCCTCGCCTTCCATGCGCGGCCCATCGTATGTCGCCTCCACGTCTGCAGGGAGGTGAGTGAGGGGTGGGTACAGTGTTTGGATGATAGGATACCTGCTTGTGAGTGCGTGCAACATATATGCCCTAACAAGCAGAGAGTCACCTCCTCGCCCTCCATGCGCGGCCCATCGTATGTCGCCTCCACGTCTGCAGGGGCATGAGGGGCGCGTGGTGTGTTTGCAATACGATATGTGCAAGTGAGTGAAGGCGGGGAAGGAAGAGTCACCTCCTCGCCTTCCATGCGCGGCCCATCGTATGTCGCCTCCACGTCTGCAGGGAGGTGAGTGAGGGGTGGGTACAGTGTTTGGATGATAGGATACCTGCTTGTGAGTGCGTGCAACATATATGCCCTAACAAGCAGAGAGTCACCTCCTCGCCCTCCATGCGCGGCCCATCGTATGTCGCCTCCACGTCTGCAGGGGCATGAGGGGCGCGTGGTGTGTTTGCAATACGATATGTGCAAGTGAGTGAAGGCGGGGAAGGAAGAGTCACCTCCTCGCCTTCCATGCGCGGCCCATCGTATGTCGCCTCCACGTCTGCAGGGAGGCGAGTGAGGGTGGGTAAAGTGTTTGGATGATAGGATACCTGCTTGTGAGTGCGTGCAACATATATGCCCTAACAAGCAGAGAGTCACCTCCTCGCCCTCCATGCGCGGCCCATTGTATGTTGCTACGTCTGCGGTGCAGAGGGGTGAGGGGCGTGGGGGGTGAGGGGCGTGGGGGGTGAGGGGCGTGTGGGGTGAGGGGCGTGTGGGGTGAGGGGCGTGTGGGGTGAGGGGCGTGTGGGGTGAGGGGCGTGTGGGGTGAGGGGCGTGTGGGGTGTGGACGGGGTGACTTTTGAGTCGACTCAAAAGTCACTACGTCTGCGGTGCAGGGGGGTGAGGGGCGTGGGGGGTGTGGACGGAAGGTACTGTGTTACTGTGAGTGAGTGCGTCCATCATACAAGCAATAAAGAAGGGGAGCGAGGGTGTCACCTCCTCGCCCTCCAGGCGCGGCCCATCGTATGTCGCCTCCACCTCAACACAAGTCAACTCAAGTCAACGCAAGTCAAACCCACCTATGCTGCTGATGTCAACGCCAAAGTTCCTGAAGCCCACAGGCCCGCTGTCTGGACTGGCTATGGCGTTTTGAAACTCAAGTCAACGGATGTCAACTCAAGTCAAACCCACCTATGCTGCTGACGTCAACGCCAAAGTCCCTGAAGCCCACAGGCCCGCTGTCTGGACTGGCTATGGCATTCTGAAACGCCTCCTCCCTCACCGCTTTCTCACACTCCTTGAGCTTCTTCCGTGCGTCTGGGTCCCTTGGGGCGATCTTGGCTGCCTGTATGGTCCAGAGGGAGAGAAAGAGAGATTGGTGGTGAACTAAGGGAAAGGAACCAGCTCCTCCTTGACTGCCTTCTCACACTCCTTCAGCTTCTTGCCTGCGTCTGAATCCCTTGGGGCGATCTTGGCTGCCTGCATGGGCGAGAAAGGGAAGAATGAATCAAGGGGAGGAATGGGCCACAGAAAACGAGGCACAGAAAATTACATCTGAGTCAACTCGTAGGCCACCCCAAAAAAATATTGATACAAAGAAGAGAATGCGCCAAGGAAAACAAGAGACACGAAGGAGCCAGGGAGGTGGGGAGCAGTGGGGGGAAGTGGGGGCAGGAGGCGGGAAGGTGGGTGCGGGAATAGGTGAAGGACTACGGCGGGGGTGAGCTGACCTGTTTGAAATCTTTTAGCGCATCTTTAAACTTGCCCATAGCCAGGTATGCTGTGCCTCTCCGGTAGTAGCCCTGAAAGGAGATGGATGGACGGAGGGGACAAGACTGTTATCGAGGCGGCTCGAAAACACAGACTTTAGACTTGCTCATAGCCAGCCAGGTATGCTGTGCCTCTCCGGTAGTGGCCCTGAAAGGGGGCGGGGCGAGAAGGAGAAAGAAACACACCGTTTCTTCATACCTGGCACCGTTACCACTGCCTATGGCTGGCCAGGTATGTCTACTGTGCCAGGTATGCTTCTAAGGGCTTCTACCCCCTTGCACCTCTTTCAACCCCAGTCGACCCTCACTTGCCATGCCGGATACGACAAAATAGGGTTACCTTGACATTGGAGGGTTTGAGAGCTCAATGGCCTTTGCAAAATCCTCCACGCCGCTCCTCAATCTTGGCGTGGGCGAGCACAGGGTAACAACCCCCCATTACCGCGACACGCTAGGGTTACTAACCCCTGAAAATCACCTTGACATAGGAGGGGTTGAGCTCGATGGCCTTAACAGCGTCCTCCACAGCGCTGCCATAATCCTCGATCTTGGTGTGGGCGAACGCAGGGTAACCACTCCCAACTACCGTGTCACAGAAGGGTAACTAACCCACGAAAATCACCTTCACATAGGAGGGGCTAAGCTCAGTGGCCCTAGCAGCGTCCTCCACAGCGCTGCCATACTCCTCGATCTTGGTGTGAAGGGTGAATGCAGGGTAACCACCCGCAACTATTGGATCATCAAGGGTTACTAACCCCAAGTTACCTTGACATAGGAGGGGTTGAGCTCAATGGCCTTAGCAGCGTCCTCCACAGCGCTGCCATACTCCTCGATCTTGGTGTGGGCGAACGCGCGATTGGCCCAGAGAATGGCGTTGGATTCGTTCAGTTGGATGGCGTCGGTGTAGAGATCAACGGCTCGCAGGAACTTGTGCTCTGATGAGGGGAGCGAAAGGAGAAGGAGGAGGGGGCGGAAGAGGAAAGTTTGGCCCAGAGGATGGTGTTGGACTCATTGAGTTGGATGGCGTCGGTGTAGAGATCAACGGCTCGCAGGAACTTGTGCTCTGATGAGGGGATACGAAGGGAGAGGGGGAAGAGGGAGGGAACGGGTGCAGAAAGAAGGGGAGCAGGGTGGTGGAATGGCGTTCGATTCGTTCAGCTGGTTTGCGTCGCTGTTGAGATCAACGGCTCGCAGGAACTTGTGCTCTGATGAGGGGAGCGAATGGGGGAGGGGGGGAAATGGTGAGGAGAGAGGGGGAAACGGGTGGGGGGTTGAAGGAGGAAAGGTAGAGAGCAGTTGCCCAGCGGATGGCGTTTGATCCATTGAGTTGGATGGCCTCGCTGTAGAGGTCAAACGAGGTCAACGAGGTCAACGAGATCAACGAGGGGAAATTCGGGTGGAAAGGAAATGCATGATTGGATTTGATCAGCAGATTGGGTTCCATATGGCCATTGCGAGAAACCGTCCCGACCATTCGCGAGTCGTCGTGACGGACCGACTGCATTCGTCGCTCGCTCTCATCTGTCACTCGATCACGAATCGAGTCTTTTGAGGCGCCTCAAAACTCGAGTCGTTGTGAAGGGCCGACTGCATTCGTCGCCCCGCACTCATCTGTCGCTCGGACCTGAATCGAGTCATATCGAGACAAACAACGGAGTCGACCAACCAGAATCGGAAGCCTTACTGCTGGTAAGTCTGTCAAGTCTGCTAATTCACCTGTTTGGATCCGCGTGAAAAGCACTTATTACGACAAGCCTGGTTACTATAACTACAATGTGGAATGGACAATGTCCTTATTAGCGACCACTCACAATTGAACCTTCCCGAGTCAACGCCTTCTGACCACATCGCGACGCAGGCTGCACATTCGTTACGAGACAGCGACGTGATGAGAGGAACGATCGAACGCACGAATCTCTGCTCCGTGCGTCCCGAGAGGCGTGCGTTTGTTCGACTAAAGCGATCGCACGGAACGGTCGTCACTCCTTGCGTGCGAAGAGGCGTGCGACTCCGCGACGGAAACTATCACAGGGTGGAATGGACTGGATTCACTGACTGCCTTGAGCTGAACACGAGGCATCGCGACAAGCTCTTACCTTGAAAGGCCCGATTAGCGGCTTCCTTAATCTCCTCGGATCGCTTCACGTCCAAGGACGAGTCGACAGCCGCCATGATGGCCAAGATGATCGTGAGCGTTGTCAAACAAAGGTGAAGCTTTCTAAAACTCCAAGAACTAAATATTTTGTAGAACAAGGTTTAGGGTGCGAGAGGTCCCGAGTTCAATTCTCGGAACACCCCTGTAGAGATTTTGTGATTTTTTCTCTACCAGCTGGCACCTTCAACGATTTGTTAGTAACATGCCACGTTCTCTACTACCTCACGGAACAAGATACTCTGTGGTTGGCATGACGGCATTATATCACAACAAGAAGCTCCTTCAAGCTTATCCGCCTTTCTCCCCCTTCTGAAGACCATACTGGTGCACATTCTTGAGCCATATGTCCTCGCCCTTACAGGCAAGCCTCGCTGGTATTCTTTAAGGCATACATATCAGAGCATGCAGATTCGTTAAGCCAATGACTCATCATCGATAACTTGTACACTTGTTCTGCCCCTCCCCAATCATTAGCCCCAAACAGAGCCAATGAGCATCCCAATGCAACTGTGGAAACATTACCACGTAATTAATACACCTTGATAACAAATACAACAGGCTCAATACCGCGCGGTACAATAAAATTTGTGGTCGGCATGACGACATTATATCACAACAAGAAGATGTCAAAACATATTGTTATGTTCTTACACTAGGTTGTGTAGGGTCACATCTTAAAGGGTACAACCCAACTCTCTCGACATCCTTGTACCCCCTCCCTCTTACCTAATCGACACTCATTCCTCACCTGGCTAGTGATTCTAACATGGTATTAAGAGCACAATGCTCCTTAGGACCGAATTTTTAAAAGGGCCCACCACTACTATTTCGATCTACTGCCCGAGTCGCGCCCCTAGGAGAAACGTGAAATTCGAAACCGTGCTCTAGGCGAGACGGTTCCTTTATCTGCCCTAGACGCGATTTTCCTTCCTAGTCACATGCAACCCCCCGTGACCGCGCCCTAGCTGCCAGCACAGCCCGCGTAGGCCCGTCGCGAAGCCCATACAGCCCGCGTAGGCCCGTCGCGAAGCTCGTACAGCCTGCGTAGGCTCGTCGCGAAGCCTGTACAGCCCGCGCCAGGCCGTCGCGCAGCCCGTACAGCCCACGTCAGGCCTGCACCCAGCCAGGGCTGATTTTATCAGACTAAAATGGTATGATTGTCTGATCTGACAGACTATTTTTCAATGGTTCCTGATTTTCCAGACTTGGTGATTTTCCAATAATGAGCACCTCAGAGTTGTGGTTTTCCGAATACTGAGAATTTCAGAGTATTGCCTATGCCAATAATGATCCCTCAGACTAAGTAGCGTACGGATCCTGGAAACCGGATATGTACGTACTAGGAAGCTTCCGCAACGTCACATGTTGCCGTGCCATCATGACAATCTCCTTGCTGTCACATGCGAAATCTGAACTTGGCAAATTTGCCACCCCTTGACCGACTCGGTGCCCCCTGTGCCACGCTGCACGTGGCAACCGTGATATCTCTGCAACGCTGTGTCAGCGGGAAAGCTGCACCGTGCCATCACTACGCGCTCTGTCCTGCACGGTACAGCACTGCAGAGGTGACGGGCATGGCGGCTCGAGACCAACGGCAACAGCCAGCCACCCATCAATTGGTTTGAGGACCACGGGGTCCTTCTTCTTCATAGCTCCCTTCACCACGCTGACTATGTTTCCTCGGCTGGCTCTCCCAGCAGTGTTCCAGTTAGTGCTCGAGTGACTCCTCCCATGACGGACCAAGAACGCGACCGGCCCGATTCACCTGATGCTGACCACCCTACTACCAAGGAGGGTGTGGGTAGGTCGGGGACTTGCGCAGGCGCTACCTGGAGTGCGAGGACTTGTTGGGCGGCGGAGAAAGCCCGGCACTGTCTGAGTTCCTGACATTGCACGGGAAGGTTCCGAAGAAGAAGGTGAAGGTGCGCGGAGTTGACAGCGAAGGTGAAGCAGTGACGCACAAGTACAAGCTTCATGAGAGGAAGATTAAGGGGCACGCTTACGGCAGCACGTACACGGAGTGCGCGAAGCTGTGCACGAAATTCGCTCAAGAGTGTGTGAACCGGCTGAACTTCCGCCTTGCTGATCTACGCAAGCTAGCACCAACGAAGCTCTTTCGAGCAGCCAAGTGGCCCAAGCCTCGGCAGCAGCGCGACCGCAAGACGCGAGAGTACCTACACGGATGCGCTGCTATCTTCGACAACAAGCTCCCTGGCTTCGACCTGCGAGCAGCCGAGATGGAGCTTGGCTCGTGGGCTCCAATCATGGCGGCGCACCACGAGGATGAGGGGTTTTTTCAAGGGCTGAAGAATTTCATGGGTGTAGCTGAGTCCGCCAGGTATGTAATACGATGTGGCGGGGCTAGCTGTGTTTCTCTCACGCAATTGTGACATTCTGCTAACCGGTATGTTAATGCTCGTGTGTGATATTTTCAGGCGCTGGCCCAACATCATGCGGCTGTGGCAAGCCGCTGCCGTGATGCCGCTGTCTACCGTTGAATGCGAGCGTGGATTCTCACGCCAGAACGTCATCAAGACCTGGGTGAGAGGCTCTTTAGGCAACGCGCGCCTGGCGGAGTTGATGACGATTTCCCTACTTGACTACGAGATCGACTGGAACGCGGCCCTCGCCAAATGGCGTGAGGAGAAGCCAAGGCGCCCTGCCAAGACTCCAACCTTCGCTGCAGCAGAGAGGAAGCGCAAGGGGAAGGAGCTGGCGGACGACCAGGAACGTGAGAGGGTTGTGCGCGGGCTGGAGTGGGATCGTGATGAGTCGGATGCGGACGACGATGAGGAGGAGGCCTATGAGGAGGAGGAGGACCAGGAGCTGGACGACGACCCTTTCCGCGAGGAGGATGAGGAGGAGGAGGATGTGGAGGAGATAGGCATGGATCAGCCTGAGTGAGACCTAAGATTATTTGTAGCTGTAGGTAGGTAGGTAGGTGATTGCTGTAGGTAGGTGATAGCTGTAGGTAGGAGGAAGGAAGGATGCATCTGATCTGAGACTCAATGAATGATTGCCATGCCAGGACATTTTAACTTAGTTTTATTTAAGTCTGATTTTAGAATTTAAATAATGACCACCTCAGACTAAACCCTGAACCAATCCTGTGAAATCAGACTCAAGGAAGTTGGGGAAAATGTGCTTCAGACTAGACTGGAATTTTTTTTACCTGCTCTCAGAGTAGGTTTTTTTGAAACGTCAGCTCTGCACCCAGCTCGTAAAGCCCGCGCTAGGCCCGCACGCAGCCCTTACAGCCCGCGCCTGGCCCGCACGCGGCCCGTGTTCCTGCTGCACTCGCTGCTGCTGCTACTTGCTGCAGCTGCTCCTCCTTGCTACTGCTACTACAGCTAGCGCTACTCACTGCTGCTGCTACTTAAGCTAGTGCTGCTACAGCTAGTGCTACTACTGCTGCTGCTACTACGGCCCTTGCAACAGCTGCTACTGACTGAAGCTACGGCTGCTCCAGCTAGTGCTACTGCTGCAGCTCCTACTCCAGCACTTGCTACTGCTAGTGCTACTGCTGCAGCTCCTACTCCAGCACTTGCTACTGCTAGTGCTACTGCTGTAGCTCCTACTCCAGCACTTGCTACTGCTAGTGCTTCTGCTGCAGCTCCTACTCCAGCACTTGCTACAGCTAGTGCTACTGCTGCAGCTCCTACTCCAGCACTTGCTACAGCTAGTGCTACTGCTGCAGCTCCTACTCCAGCACTTGCTACAGCTAGTGCTACTGCTGCAGCTCCTACTCCAGCACTTGCTACAGCTACTATTGACTGAAGCTACTCAAGCTACAGCTAGTGCTACTGCTGTAGCTCCTACTCCAGCACTTACTGCAGCTGCTCCTGACTGAAGCTACTGCTGCTACGGCTAGTACTACTGCTGCAGCTCCTACTACTTCACTTGCTACAGCTAGTGCTACTTCTGCAGCTCCTACTCCAGCACTTGCTACAGGTGCTCCTGACTGAAACTACTGCTGATTGATTGAAGCTACTGCTGCTACAGCTAGTACTACTGCTGCAGCTCCTACTACTTCACTTGCTACAGCTATTGCTACTGCTGCAGCTCCTACTACTGCACTTGCTACAGCTAGTGCTACTGCTGCTCTGCCACTGTGTCCGAGCCGCGCCGCCCAGCCCGAGCTGTCACTGCTGCTGCTACTGCAACTACTATTGCTACAGCTAGTGCTCAGGGCTTCAGATTCGTTTTGGGCCACCCTTAGTAATCAGGGTTCTAGGTATAGTCAACCCTGATGCCTAAGGTAAAATTTTTGTTTCCCTGACAAATGCAGGGTAAAAAAACTGTAACACTGTTTGGCAAGGGTATTTTTTTCAGAAATTACTGTATAAATATTTCTGAGTTTGTTAATCCAGGCTTAGTGGCTCAGCTGGTGTGTTACGGAATAGGGCCTGAAAGGCGCAGGTTCGAGATTCGTTGAAGTGTTTTTGCAGGGGCCCGCATAGTGTTTCGTCTCGCTACGTAGCATTCCGTATCAGTATTACTGGGATTGTACACTGTACAGTCAGGGAAACATGTTCCTTACGCTGCTTTTCAAAGGGTACAAAAAAACTTACACTTTCTGGCCTAGGGTAAAAAATCCACTACCCTGTCTGCGAACGGGTAACTGAAAAAAAGCGGCCGTCAGTCAGTGCAAAAAGGGTATTTTACCTTGATAACGAGAGCCCTGCTAGTGCTACTCGGTCTACTGCTGCTGCTGCCCAAGCCGCCCTGCTACTGCTACTACTGGAGGGAGTACTGCTGGGAGTGGTGGAGGTGCGGCCTCCCACCCCCACCGAACCGCCCTGCTGCTGTTACTACTGCTGCTTCTGCTACTTGTGCTACAGGAAGTGGAGGAGGTGCTGCTGGGAGTGTAGGAGGTGCTGCTGGCGCTGTAGGAGCTGGAGGTGCTGGACCTACTCCTGACAGTCACTGTCTGTCATGGCCACTTCCGCGGCAGTCGCTGCGGCCAGGGGTCGACAGCAGCGGGCACTGCTTCTCCCGGACGACCCCACCCCTCGGCAGCTTCGCGAGTGGGTTATTCAGCGAGGTCGTCCTAGTGGTGGAGGTTATCGTTCTGTTAAGACCGCTGCTCTTGGTGTTAGTGAGTGTGCTGGCACTCCAGGTGTTAGTCAGTCTGCTGCCATTCCAGGTGTTAGTGAGTCTGCTGCCACTCCACGTGCTAGTGAGTCTGCTGCAGCTCTAGGTGCCCGTGAGTCTACCGACGCTCTAGTTGCTAGTGCGTCTACTACCACAGGTCCTGCCTCAGCTGAGGTCTTGCACACTTTCACGCTTGACTCCGGCGCGTCACGTTGCTTCTTCCGTAATTGCAGCACAGTCACACCACTCACAGCACCTGTTCCACTCTCACTGGCTGACCCCTCTGGGGGCCCAGTGGTTGCGAGAGCCTCCACGGTCCTCCCTTGTCCAGCAGTCCCCTCCGGCTCTTTGTCAGGTCTACACCTCCCCACGTTCTCGACGAACTTGGTGAGCAACGCTGCCATTCAGGATGTATGGGTTGATACCTTTATTCCTGGAGGGCAGCGTGTGGCAATCTGTATGTGCTCCCGGACTGGCCGTCACCTGGCTACGTTCATTCGACAGCCTGGGTCCAGTCTGTACACACTGACCACTGCGTCTGCACAGGTGGCTGAGTCAGGTCAGGTAGCTACGTCGAGTCGAGCGTCAGCGTCAGGGCAGTTAGCTGCGTCTTGCTCGTGCCGATTACTCACGCACGAGACTCAGCGCTGGCACCACCGTCTTGGTCACCCCTCCCTGCAGCGTCTGCGCCGCATGCACTCCCGGCTCCTGGTGACTGGCCTCCCTGAGACCCTGCCCCCCCTCCCGCGCTCACTTGCGCCGCCGTGCCTTCCTTGCGTCGAGGGGTGGTAGCGCGCCGCTCCTCACTCCTCTGAGTTTCCTCCGACCACTGCTCCTCTGCAGACTCCCCACATGGACGTGTGGGGCCCGGCCCCTGTCGGTGGAACGGACCAGGAGCGCTACTTCCTGCTAGTGGTTGACGACTACACACGCTACACCACAGTCTTCCCCTTGCGGCGCAAGGCGGATGTCAATGGTGTCTTGATCCCCTGGATCCGTGCTACTCGTCACCAGCTGCGTGAGCGGTTTCGGCAGGACTTTCCAGTCCTGCGTCTGCACTCTGACAGGGGTGGTGAGTTCTCCTCTGGCGTCCTTGAGACGTTCTGCGAGGATGAGGGCATCGCCCAGTCGTTCACGCTTCCGGCCTCTCCGCAGGAAAATGGGATCGCTGAGCGTCGCATTGGCCTGATCATGGAGGTTGCTCGTACCTCCATGATCCATGCGGCTGCTCCCCATTTCCTATGGCCGTTTGCGGTCCGATACGCCGCGCATCAGCTCAACCTCTGGCCCCGTGTCTCTGCTCCAGATACCTCGCCCACACTCCGTTGGACAGGACAGCCTGGTGATGCGTCGTCGTTTCGGGTCTGGGGCGCGCTCTCCCTTGTTCGCGATACCAAAGCGAGCAAGCTCTCCCCTCGCACTCTCAGCTGTGTCTTCCTGGGCTTCCCCACCGACGCTCCACCCTGGCAGTTCTACCACCCTGCCTCGCGTCGTGTTCTGTCCTCTCGAGATGTCACCTTTGACGAGTCGGTCTGTTACTACCGACTTCACCCGCACGCGTCCCACCCGGTCCCTCTCGCACCTCTCTTCCTGGTACCAGTCCCCCACCCGGTAGACCCTCTTCCCCCACAGGGTCCTGCTCCCTCAGGTGTGTCCCAGGTAGACCCACCCCCCTTGGATGAGCCAGTTGAGATCTCTTCTGACTCCTCTGACTCACCTGAGGGGGGTGACGCCGTCGCCGACGACACGGCGACCACTCGCCGCACTCCTCGCTTGGAGACCCCCCCGGGTTTCCCGCCATGGCCGTCTTTGCCGCCTCCGCAGCCTGCTGCTGTGGGCTCTGGAGCTGAGACTACTGGAGCTAGGGCTGGGGGTGGTGAGTCCGGGGGTGCCCGCTCTCCTCTTCTGGCTACACCCCCCGGGTTCCCACCTCTGCCGTCTTCGCCGCCTCTGCAGCCTACTGCTGTGGACACTGGAGCAGAGACTGAGGGTACTGAGCTCGGGGGTGCTGCGACTGAGGGTACTGAGCCTGCAAGTGCTGAGACCGCGCGTCCTGCCTTTGGGGGTGCTGCGAGTTTGGGTGCTGACTCTTGGGGTGCTGCGAGTCCTTCTGGTGTTGGTGTCGTCGGAGCTCCTACCGTAGGACCTGGAGCTACTGGTGCTGGAGATACTGGAGGTACTGCTGGTGCTGGAGGTCCTGGAGGTGCTGCTAGTGCTGGTGGTCCTGGAGGTGCTGGAGGTACTGGAGGTGCTGCTGGTGCTGGAGGTCGGGGAGCTGCAGGTGTTGCTGGTCCTGGTGGAGCTGTTGGTGCTGGAGGTACTAGAGGTGCTGCTGGTGCTGGAGGTTGTGGAGCTGCTGGTGCTGGAGGTACTGTAGGTACTGCTGGTGCTGGAGGTCGTGGAGCTGTTGGAGCTGCTGGTCCTGGTGGAGCTACTGGTGCTCTTCGCCACCTTCCCGGTCTTCAGCCATGTGCTACTGGTTTCCCTGTGGCAGGTACTACTCCTCCGTTGCTGTGTCCACCGGCGGACTAGTCACAGCCGCCGCTGCTACCACACTCCCCACTGCCTGCTCCTGCTCCTTACACTGCGGTGTCAGAGTCCCTGACTGAGCGTCGAGAGCCTGAGACTCGTGCTTCCACCCCTGAGCGTCGAGAGCCTGAGTCTAGCTTTGACCTTGAGCCTGAGCCTAGAGGTGCTGTCCGTGCTCGTGTTCCTTGTGTTCGTCGTGTGCGTGCTCCGGCTGTCCCCGGCACTCACGATATGACACTCTGTCCTTCCTCTGTTCCTTAGCGTGTTGTCCTACCGTTACC